ATAAGCAGAGAGGGATGGGAATAAGCAGAGAGGGATGGGAATAAGCAGAGAGGGATGGGAACAAGCAGAGAGGGATGGGAACAAGCAGAGAGGGATGGGAATCAGCAGAGAGGGATGGGAATAAGCAGAGAGGGATGGGAATCAGCAGAGAGGGATGGGAATAAGCAGAGAGGGATGGGAATAAGCAGAGAGGGATGGGAATAAGCAGAGAGGGATGGGAATAAGCAGAGAGGGATGGGAATAAGGAGAGAGGGATGGGAATAAGCAGAGAGGGATGGGAATAAGAAGAGAGGGATGGGAATAAGCAGAGAGGGATGGAGGAGGAGGGTGAAGAGAAGCATGGCAGGAAGCAATAGAGGAAAGGGAACCGGAAGAATGATGAGAACGATGGGAAGAATGATGAGAATGATGATGAGAATGATGATGAGAATGATCAGCATAACATAACAGAATGATGGGAATGTTATGCTGGTTACAGGGCAATAAGTGATGGCACATTTGTAGCAAGGAAACAAGGGATGACTTGTTGGTTACAGGGTAACAAGGGATGGCATGTTGGTTACATGGTAACAAGGGATGGCATGTTGGTTATAGGATAACAAGGGATGGTATGTTTGTTACACGGTAACAAGGGATGGCATGTTGGTTATAGGATAACAAGGGATGGTATGTTGGTTATAGGGTAACAAGGGATGGCATGTTGGTTACAGGATAACAAGGGATGGCATGTTGGTTACAGGATAACAAGGGATGGCATGTTGGTTAGAGTAACAAGGGATGGCATGTTGGTTACAGGGTAACAAGAGATGGCATGTTGACAACGACGTCAAAAACAGGGCCGGTGAGATTGTTGCCGATTAGAATTCTGCATGGTTGCACATACATACACACACATACATGCAGGCACACACAGACACACACACACGCGCGCGCGCGTGCGCACTCACACACACACACGCGCACGCACATGCGCACGCAAAAAGCGGAATGACATGGCAGGAGACACAAACCAGGCCGCCACCCCACGCCTGCAGTATCAGTGACCTGCCACCCCACGCCTGCGGTATCAGTGACCTGCCACCCGCACGCACGTGCATGCAGAGAGGCCACAAAAGGACAACGCTATCCTGCAAATGGGTCGGCCCACCCAGGCCTCCTCCACCCAGACCTCCTCCACCCAGGCCTCCTCTGCTCAGGCAACAGTGCGCCTCACACCCTCACAGCCTCACACCCTCACAGCCTCACACCCTCACAGCCTCACAACCTCAGGCCCAATGCTCAGGCCAACTCAACTCAAGCCCTCACAGGGGGCAGTGCGCCTCACAGGGGGCAGTGCGCCTCACAGGGGGCAGTGCGCCTCACAGCCTCACAGGGTGCGCAGGCGGACGAGAGTGGAGAGGGCAGAGGGGAGAGGTCCGGACAAATGGTTGGTGCGCACATCACTGCACGCGTCGAGCACAAGAGGAGGGGGTGCGAGGGGGGAGGAGTAGGGAGTGGGGGGTGTGGTGGGAACTGGGAGGTGGGTGGGAGAGCGTTGGAGTGAGGAGGCAAAGGAGTGAGTGATGGTGGAGTGGGCAACCGGTGGAGGGTGATGGGTGGAGTGGAGAGAGAGAAGCGGGGTGGGGTGACTGACTGGCAGTGAGTGGAGACGGCTGACAGTGCTGACAGTGAGTGGAGGCGGGACGACTGGCAATGAGTGGAGGCGGGACGATTGGCAATGAGTGGAGGCGGGACGACTGGCAGTGAGTGGAGGCGGGACGACTGGCAATGAGTGGAGGCGGTACGACTGGCAATGAGTGGAGGCGGGACGACTGGCAATGAGTGGAGGCGGGACGATTGGCAATGAGTGGAGGCGGGACGACTGGCAGTGAGTGGAGGCGGGACGACTGGCAATGAGTGGAGGCGGGACGTCTGGCAATGAGTGGAGGCGGTACGACTGGCAATGAGTGGAGGCGGGACGACTGGCAATGAGTGGAGGCGGGACGACTGGCAATGAGTGGAGGCGGGACGATTGGCAATGAGTGGAGGCGGGACGACTGGCAGTGAGTGGAGGCGGGACGACTGGCAGTGAGTGGAGGCGGGACGACTGGCAGTGAGTGGAGGCGGGACGACTGGCAGTGAGTGGAGGCGGGACGACTGGCAGTGAGTGGAGGCGGGACGACTGGCAGTGAGTGGAGGCGGGACGACTGGCAGTGAGTGGAGGCGGGGCTACTGACGGACAGGGAGTGAAGGCGGGAGAGGGCGGAGAGGGCGATGGGCAAGGAGCCGCTGAGGTCCCTCCGCGAAACGTCCCTGCCCACCACGCAGGGGGGGATGGGCGGAGAGAGGGAGCGAGGGGCTGGTGGTTGAAGGAAGGGGGTGGTTGAAGGATGGGGGTGGTTGAACAGTGCGCCACGTCCCTGCCCAGCACGCAGGGAGAGAGGGGCGGAGAGGACAGGTGGATGGGGGGATGGGCAAGGAGCCGTTGAGGTCCCTCAGTGACACGTCACTGCCCACCACGCAGAAAGACAGGGGCGGAGACGTGGGGACGGGCGGATTGGGATGAGTGCACACGAGAGCGGTAAGAACAGTAGCGGTGGGAGGGGAGGGATGAGTGCGCATGAGAGTGGTAAGAACAGTAAAGGTGGGAGGGGAGGGATGAGTGAACATGAGTGCGGTAAGAACAGTAGCGGTGGGAGGGGAGGGATGAGTGAGCGCCAGAATGGTGCATGTTGACACAGCATGCATGTTGACACGGCATGCATGTTGACACGGCATGCATGTTGACACGGCATGCATGTTGACACCGCATGCATGTTGACACGGCATGCATGTTGACACGGCATGCATGTTGACACGTCATGCATGTTGACACAGCATGCATGTTGACACGGCATGCATGTTGACACGGCATGCATGTTGACACGGCATGCATGTTGACACGGCATGCATGTTGACACGGCATGCATGTTGACACGGCATGCATGTTGACACGGCATGCATGTTGACACGGCATGCATGTTGACACGGCATGCATGTTGACACGGCATGCATGTTGACACGGCATGCATGTTGACACGGCATGCATGTTGACACGGCATGCATGTTGACACGGCATGCATGTTGACACGGCATGCATGTTGACACGGCATGCATGTTGACACGGCATGCATGTTGACACGGCATGCATGTTGACACGGCATGCATGTTGACACGGCATGCATGTTGACACGGCATGCATGTTGACACGGCATGCATGTTGACACGGCATGCATGTTGACACGGCATGCATGTTGACACGGCATGCATGTTGACACGGCATGCATGCTGACACGGCATGCATGCTGACACGGCATGCATGTTGACACGGCATGCATGTTGACACGGCATGCATGTTGACACGGCATGCATGTTGACACGGCATGCATGTTGACATGGCATGCATGTTGACATGGCATGCATGCGGTGGCGGCAGCACAATGCGTCTGTGTATGGCAAGCTTGTGCTCGACTCTCATGCTCTCGGGCTCTCATGCTCTCATACTCTCATGCTCTCATCCACCCATGCGCATCCACACATGCTCATCCACACATGCTCATCCACACATGCTCATCCACCCATGCTCATCCACACATGCTCATCCACCCATGCTCATCCACCCATGCTCATCCATCCATGCGCATCTTGACTCCTGCTACTCCCTTCCACTGCATCCCCCACACCTTCTCCCACTCACAGCGCCATCACCATGCCATTGCCGTCGCATGTGATGCCCTGCGCCTGAGTGCATTCGCGCCCTGCCGGTCCTGCTCATTCCCCCTCGCCATCATCCCCCCTCGCCCTCATCCCCCCTCGCCCTCATCCCCCCTCGCCCTCATCCCCTCTCGCGCTCATACCCCCTCGCGCTCATCCCCACTTGCGCTCATCCCCACTTGCGCTAATCCCCCACACCTCCTCCCACTCACAGTGCCGTCACCATGCTCTCATGCTCTCATGCTCTCATGCTCTCATGCTCTCATGCTCTCATGCTCTCATGCTCTCATGCTCTCATGCTCTCATGCTCTCATGCTCTCATGCTCTCATGCTCTCATGCTCTCATGCTCTCATGCTCTCATGCTCTCATGCTCTCATGCTCTCAGGCTCTCAGGCTCTCATGCTCTCAGGCTCTCATGCTCTCAGGCTCTCATGCTCTCATGCTCTCAGGCTCATGCTCTCATGCTCTCATGCTCTCATGCTCTCATGCTCTCATGCTCTCATGCTCTCATGCTCTCATGCTCTCATGCTCTCATGCTCTCATGCTCTCATGCTCTCATGCTCTCATGCTCTCATGCTCTCATGCTCTCATGCTCTCATGCTCTCATGCTCTCATGCTCTCATGCTCTCATGCTCTCATGCTCTCATGCTCTCATGCTCTCATGCTCTCATGCTCTCATGCTCTCATGCTCTCAAGCTCTCAAACTCTCATGCTCTCATGCTCTCAGGCTCTCAAGCTCTCATGCTCTCAGGCTCTCATGCTCTCAGGCTCTCATGCTCTCATGCTCTCAGGCTCTCATGCGCTCATGCTCTCAGGCTCTCATGCTCTCAGGCTCTCATGCTCTCAGGCTCTCATGCTCTCAGGCTCTCATGCTCTCATGCTCTCAGGCTCATGCTCTCATGCTCTCATGCTCTCATGCTCTCATGCTCTCATGCTCTCATGCTCTCATGCTCTCATGCTCTCATGCTCTCATGCTCTCATGCTCTCATGCTCTCATGCTCTCATGCTCTCATGCTCTCATGCTCTCATGCTCTCATGCTCTCATGCTCTCATGCTCTCATGCTCTCATGCTCTCATGCTCTCATGCTCTCATGCTCTCATGCTCTCATGCTCTCATGCTCTCATGCTCTCATGCTCTCATGCTCTCATGCTCTCATGCTCTCATGCTCTCATGCTCTCATGCTCTCATGCTCTCATGCTCTCATGCTCTCATGCTCTCATGCTCTCATGCTCTCATGCTCTCATGCTCTCATGCTCTCATGCTCTCATGCTCTCATCCATCCATGCGCATCTTGACTCCTGCTACTCCCTTCTACTGTATCCCCCACACCTTCTCCCACTCACAGCGCCATCACATACCTGTAAGCTCACAACACTCTTGAGGGCGAGATTCCAACGTTCCTGGGCACAATGGCCCAGCTCACATACCTGTAAGCTCACAACACTCTTGAGGGCGAGATTCCAACGTTCCTGGGCACAATGGCCCAGCTCACATACCTGTAAGCTCACAACACTCTTGAGGGCGAGATTCCAACGTTCCTGGGCACAATGGCCCAGCTCACATACCTGTAAGCTCACAACACTCTTGAGGGCGAGATTCCAACGTTCCTGGGCACAATGGCCCAGCTCACATACCTGTAAGCTCACAACACTCTTGAGGGCGAGATTCCAACGTTCCTGGGCACAATGGCCCAGCTCACATACCTGTAAGCTCACAACACTCTTGAGGGCGAGATTCCAACGTTCCTGGGCACAATGGTCCAGCTCACATACCTGTAAGCTCACAACACTCTTGAGGGCGAGATTCCAACGTTCCTGGGCACAATGGCCCAGCTCACATACCTGTAAGCTCACAACACTCTTGAGGGCGAGATTCCAACGTTCCTGGGCACAATGGCCCAGCTCACATACCTGTAAGCTCACAACACTCTTGAGGGCGAGATTCCAACGTTCCTGGGCACAATGGCCCAGCTCACATACCTGTAAGCTCACAACACTCTTGAGGGCGAGATTCCAACGTTCCTGGGCACAATGGCCCAGCTCACATACCTGTAAGCTCACAACACTCTTGAGGGCGAGATTCCAACGTTCCTGGGCACAATGGCCCAGCTCACATACCTGTAAGCTCACAACACTCTTGAGGGCGAGATTCCAACGTTCCTGGGCACAATGGCCCAGCTCACATACCTGTAAGCTCACAACACTCTTGAGGGCGAGATTCCAACGTTCCTGGGCACAATGGCCCAGCTCACATACCTGTAAGCTCACAACACTCTTGAGGGCGAGATTCCAACGTTCCTGGGCACAATGGCCCAGCTCACATACCTGTAAGCTCACAACGCTCTTGAGGGCGAGATTCCAACGTTCCTGGGCACAATGGCCCAGCTCACATACCTGTAAGCTCACAACGCTCTTGAGGGCGAGATTCCAACGTTCCTGGGCACAATGGCCCAGCTCACATACCTGTAAGCTCACAACGCTCTTGAGGGCGAGATTCCAACGTTCCTGGGCACAATGGCCCAGCTCACATACCTGTAAGCTCACAACGCTCTTGAGGGCGAGATTCCAACGTTCCTGGGCACAATGGCCCAGCTCACATACCTGTAAGCTCACAACGCTCTTGAGGGCGAGATTCCAACGTTCCTGGGCACAATGGCCCAGCTCACATACCTGTAAGCTCACAACGCTCTTGAGGGCGAGATTCCAACGTTCCTGGGCACAATGGCCCAGCTCACATACCTGTAAGCTCACAACGCTGTTGAGGGCGAGATTCCAACGTTCCTGGGCACAATGGCCCAGCTCACATACCTGTAAGCTCACAACGCTGTTGAGGGCGAGATTCCAACGTTCCTGGGCACAATGGCCCAGCTCACATACCTGTAAGCTCACAACGCTGTTGAGGGCGAGATTCCAACGTTCCTGGGCACAATGGCCCAGCTCACATACCTGTAAGCTCACAACGCTGTTGAGGGCGAGATTCCAACGTTCCTGGGCACAATGGCCCAGCTCACATACCTGTAAGCTCACAACGCTGTTGAGGGCGAGATTCCAACGTTCCTGGGCACAATGGCCCAGCTCACATACCTGTAAGCTCACAACGCTGTTGAGGGCGAGATTCCAACGTTCCTGGGCACAATGGCCCAGCTCACATACCTGTAAGCTCACAACGCTCTTGAGGGCGAGATTCCAACGTTCGTGGGCACAATGGCCCAGCTCACATACCTGTAAGCTCACAACGCTCTTGAGGGCGAAATTCCAACGTTCCTGGGCACAATGGCCCAGCTCACATACCTGTAAGCTCACAACGCTCTTGAGGGCGAGATTCCAACGTTCCTGGGCACAATGGCCCAGCTCACATACCTGTAAGCTCACAACGCTCTTGAGGGCGAGATTCCAACGTTCCTGGGCACAATGGCCCAGCTCACATACCTGTAAGCTCACAACGCTCTTGAGGGCGAGATTCCAACGTTCCTGGGCACAATGGCCCAGCTCACATACCTGTAAGCTCACAACGCTCTTGAGGGCGAGATTCCAACGTTCCTGGGCACAATGGCCCAGCTCACATACCTGTAAGCTCACAACGCTCTTGAGGGCGAGATTCCAACGTTCCTGGGCACAATGGCCCAGCTCACATACCTGTAAGCTCACAACGCTCTTGAGGGCGAGATTCCAACGTTCCTGGGCACAATGGCCCAGCTCACATACCTGTAAGCTCACAACGCTCTTGAGGGCGAGATTCCAACGTTCCTGGGCACAATGGCCCAGCTCACATACCTGTAAGCTCACAACGCTCTTGAGGGCGAGATTCCAACGTTCCTGGGCACAATGGCCCAGCTCACATACCTGTAAGCTCACAACGCTCTTGAGGGCGAGATTCCAACGTTCCTGGGCACAATGGCCCAGCTCACATACCTGTAAGCTCACAACACTCTTGAGGGCGAGATTCCAACGTTCCTGGGCACAATGGCCCAGCTCACATACCTGTAAGCTCACAACACTCTTGAGGGCGAGATTCCAACGTTCCTGGGCACAATGGCCCAGCTCACATACCTGTAAGCTCACAACACTCTTGAGGGCGAGATTCCAACGTTCCTGGGCACAATGGCCCAGCTCACATACCTGTAAGCTCACAACACTCTTGAGGGCGAGATTCCAACGTTCCTGGGCACAATGGCCCAGCTCACATACCTGTAAGCTCACAACACTCTTGAGGGCGAGATTCCAACGTTCCTGGGCACAATGGCCCAGCTCACATACCTGTAAGCTCACAACACTCTTGAGGGCGAGATTCCAACGTTCCTGGGCACAATGGCCCAGCTCACATACCTGTAAGCTCACAACGCTCTTGAGGGCGAGATTCCAACGTTCCTGGGCACAATGGCCCAGCTCACATACCTGTAAGCTCACAACGCTCTTGAGGGCGAGATTCCAACGTTCCTGGGCACAATGGCCCAGCTCACATACCTGTAAGCTCACAACACTCTTGAGGGCGAGATTCCAACGTTCCTGGGCACAATGGCCCAGCTCACATACCTGTAAGCTCACAACACTCTTGAGGGCGAGATTCCAACGTTCCTGGGCACAATGGCCCAGCTCACATACCTGTAAGCTCACAACACTCTTGAGGGCGAGATTCCAACGTTCCTGGGCACAATGGCCCAGCTCACATACCTGTAAGCTCACAACACTCTTGAGGGCGAGATTCCAACGTTCCTGGGCACAATGGCCCAGCTCACATACCTGTAAGCTCACAACACTCTTGAGGGCGAGATTCCGCCGCCCTCTCGCCGCCCTCCGCAACCCTCTCACCTCCCCCTCACCTCCCCCTCACCTCCCCCTCACCTCCCCCTCACTGCCCTCTAATTGCCCTCTTCCCCTCTCCTTTCTCTCATGTCCCTCTTCCCCACCAACCCCCTTTTCCCCAACTTTCCCCTACCCCCACCCCCAACCCCACTCCTCCCTCACACCCACGCAACTCACTGTCGGACACACGGCTGTATGGCGAGGTGCCCAGGGCGCTCAACGGCCTCACAACCCCTCTTTCCCAACTTCAATCTCTCTCCACTCCTCTTCCTCTTTCCTTCCCTTCCCCCCCACTGTGCGTACACCTCCCTGTCGGACACACAGCTGTACGGCGAGGTGCACAGAGCGCTGCTGACAGGCCTCTGCAGCCCCCTCTTCCCAACTTCCCTCTTCCCCTCCTGTTCCCCCTCTTTCCACCATCCCCCCCCCACACCCACGCAGCTCACTGTCCGACACGCGGCTGTATGGCGAGGTGCCCTGAGCACTCAACGGCCTTGCGAACCTCAGAGAGCTGTGAGGCTCACAGGGGCCGGGCGGGGGGGGAGACTGGGAGAGGGTGGGGGTGCAGGGGAGTGGGGCAGGGCGGGTAGAGAGTGGACATATGGGACGCGCCCAGAACTCTCAACGGCCTTGCCAACCTCAGAGAGCTGTGAGCCTTGCAGGGGGAGGACAGCAGGCAGGGGGAGAGGGCGGGGTGTAGGATTAGACATGGGGGGAAGGGAGAGGTTAGGCAGAGGGCAGAGGTGGACATGGGGGAGGGCGCTGAATAGCTGCGCCAACCTTAGAGCGCTGTGAGGCTGCCAAGGGGGACAAGGGTGCGGCTAGGAGCGGGTAGGGGGATAGCAGGGAGAGGAAGGGGAGCGGGAGAGGGGAGGGAGCGGGAGAGGGGAGCGGGAGAGGGGAGCGGGAGAGGGCAGCGGGAGAGGGCAGCGGGAGAGGGGAGCGGGAGAGGGCAGCGGGAGAGGGCAGCGGGAGAGGGGAGCGGGAGTGCAGGGGGAAGGGTAGGGGAGAGGGCAGGGAGAAGGAAGGGCAGGGAGACTTTTGTCATAATCACCACTTACCTATCTTCAACCACCTCCCCTTCCACCCTCATTGCATCTACCCTTCCCTCCAAGCTCACCCTACGCTCCCATTTCCTTGCTGCCTCCATTCCAACCCCCTGTCCCACAGGTACCTCCAGAACGGATGGTTCTACGGCCCCCTGCCTGACCTCACCGGCCTCAAGAAGCTCACTCAATTGTATACCTGCCTGCACCCCTGCGCACCTGCTCATTCCCTGCCCGCCTGCTCACTGCTTGCCGGCCTGCTTCTAATTGCCTTCTTATGTCCATTCATTCCCTGCCCGACCTCACGGGCCTCAAGAAGCCTACTCAAATGTACCACACTTGCACTCCTTCTCACTCCCTGCACACCTGCTCACTGCTTGCCCCCCTGCTCACTGCTTGCCCCCCTGCTCACTGCTTGCCTTCTCATGTCGCTTCACTCCCTGCCCGACCTCACTGGCCTCAAGAAGCTCACCCTCATGTACCCACCTGCTCTCCTGCATGCCCCCAGCTCACTGTCTGACCACCTGTTTCTGCTTGCCTGCTCATGTCCCTTCATTCCGTATCATGCATGGCAAGTTGTGCTTGCTTGACTGCCATTTTGTTTTCCTAACCCATTGCTCTCCCATCTCCTCACGTCCTCCACACACACTTGCAAATTCCACCTTCCCTTCCCCCTCCCAACCCCTCTCAACACCTCCCCACTCACCGCCCACCCCTTCAGGGACCTTTCCGAGAACTATTTCTCGGGCCCGCTCCCCTCCTTCCTGCGCCAAGAAAAGCAAGTCAATGCGGACGGCAACTACTTCTCAGGCTCAGCCGCAGCCCTCCCCTGCTCCCTCTCTCCCTCCCAACATTTTCCCACAACCCATGCGCCACCTTTGCAGAGACCTCTCCGAGAACTACTTCTCAGGCCCGCTCCCCTCCTTTCTACGCCAAGTCAAGCAAGTCAACGCAGATGGCAACTATTTCGCAGGCTCAGCTGCAGCCCTCCCCTGCTCCGACCTCTTCTCAGTCAACGGCAACTGCCTCTCCTCCGTCCCCGCTCAGTGTGGGGGACAAGCCTCTCAGAAAACCCTTGCGGAATGCAGCAAGTTCTGTGGGACGGGGGCGGCAGGTGGGGCGTGCAGCGGCAAGGGCGTGTGTGTGCCTGACATGCAAAAGATGCTGAGTTCACAGGCGTTTGTGCCGGTGTGCAAGTGTGCTGCGGGGTTCCTGCCTACGCAGAATAAGTTGGGCTGCGTGAAGAAGTGAGGGTGGGTTTGAGTCGACCCAGTTAGAACGCACGTGTGTGTGCCCGACATGCAGAGGATGCTGAGCTCCCAGGCGTTTGTGCCGGTGTGAAAGTGCCAGGAGGGGTTTCGAGCAACACAGAACAGGCTTGGATGTGTGAAGACGTGAGGGTGAAAAGGTGGTGTGGTTGGGTTGAGGTACTGGAATAAAGACTGGAAGTGGAAAACCCCTTCCAGTTGAGTTGCAGTGATTATTCTTTGAACAACTGAATTTCATAAGTCATTCAACTTTAATCCAACACCAGTGGTTTACAAGTTGCAAGGCAGCATAGACAACAGGCGGCTAGTACCACAGTTTGATTGCCACTGACGGAAGAATAGAAGGATTTCACAGAGATGCATTTGCAAGTGCAGCAGGCCTTTTTCGCTTGATTCACCAGGCCCTCATACCGTATTGGTTATGGGAGGTATGCTGATCAATAGTGCTGGTTCGCAACCAATGGTTAGCTAGGAAAGGAAATCAGTGTCACCTAAAGAGAGTCATTAAGAGAGTCATTAGTGCCGCCTCACCTCACAATTGATAAACTGTATGCGACACTGAGCAAACTCAAAATTTTGCCACATGTCGTACCAACAGTGGCTGATACATCACCGTTATGTCATTTCTTACGTATATCACAGTTAGCGGCGAATAATGTTTCATTCTGTCATCAGCAGGTCGTGTGCATCAGATAGTTTTCAAGTGCCACGTGTATGCTGCTGATCGAACATTTCTATGCGCACGTGTAGCAACATTTTGAGCCGCTCGCGAAAATTGTGCGACGACCAGGCCCTCAGATTGGTTTCAGGGCATGCTGATGGATCAGCGTGCCCTGCCCAAAGTCGTGACCAAATCAGCGTTGGGGGTTAAGTCTATGCTGATTTTGTCAGGGTAAAATTTCATGGCTTACTGAATAATCTGTGTACAAATTTTGTTTGACCTAGCTAGTACTTCTAGCATAGCTGTCTAGGATTTCCTCTACTACAGTAATGGTCCCAGGTTCAAGTTACATGTGTGAGAGAGTAATTCTGTGTTGGGTTTACGGGTTAAAAGCCCCAATCGTGCACCCCATTTCTTGAACCCTAAACATTTTGGTATGTCCGAATCAGTGTGACTCGGTACACTGTACTGAAGCTTCAGTGTTACTGGTACACCTAAACTGTTAAGGTTTAGACTAGGAATGATTGAGACTAGAAACAGTTGGGATACAAATAGGAACCCTAGAAAGTTGTACCCCATGTAAGCTACCCCACTACAGCCTACAAACAACAAAGTCTATTACAACTTAACACACCCCCATAGGCAAAGTGGGGGAGAACAAGTGGTCACAAGACCAGCCAAGAAAAGCAAAGCAAGCTCAGGGTGGATCACGACGTCACCATACACTCCGAGCACAAGCAAAAGGCCACATGGCCAGTTCACATGCATAGTTATATAAGAGAGAGCAAACAGTACAGTGATCACTACCTAGCAAGTGTAAGCATGCAGGTATATATAAAGATCACAGTACAAGCAAGGTCAAGCAGTGAGCAAGTGAGAGAACGTAGGCACGAGGCCTAGAGCAGTGCAGTGCCGCTGATGATCACCAGGCGGAAGTGCCTTGGTGAAGATATCAGCTGTGTTGGCCCGGGTGGCCACGTAAGCAAGACGAAGCTGGCCACGCTGCTGCAACTCTCGAGCCAGGAAGTAGCGTAGAGCGATGTGCTTCGTTCTGTGCTCCAGTTTGTGCTCCTGACACAAGGCAATAGCAGTTGTCGCCGTACAGAACTGGAGGAGAACAAGGCTGCTCTCCCAAGTCAGTCAGTAGGTAGGTGAGCCAGCGTAACTCCTGTGCAGCCATGGCTGTGGCGTAGATCTCAGCCTCACAACTGGAGCTGAGAACAGAAGAAGAGTGGGTAGACCGCCAAGCGACAGAGCCAGAACCAAGGCTGAAGGTGTAACCCTGTGACGACCGCTGCGTAGCCAGGTCGTCAACCCAAGAGGCGTCTGAGAGTCCAGGGAGGACAACGTCACCCCGTCCTCCAAGCACCAGCCCCATGCCTGATGTACTGCACAAGTAGCGCAGCAATCTCTTAGCAGCCTCCCAGTGCTCTCGCCTGTGTCTCCCAGGCGCAACGTAGCGAGCCAAGATGCTAAGAGGGTACGCAAGGTCAGGTCGAGTGCAGGTCATCAGGTACATGAGGCAGCCCACAAGCTCTGGGTACGGGCCACTCGGCTCTATGGACTCGTCCGAAGGTGGAGCTGAGAGCGAGTGACGTGTAGACAGAGGAGTGGACTGTGGTGAGGAGTACTGGAAGTCGAAGCGCTGAAGGATCTGCTGCACCATGTGTGACTGAGTCAGTGTAATGGTGCGGCGTGCTCTGTCCCGGGTGATCTGCAAGCCAAGATAGCTGCGCAGCTCACCCAGGTCTGTGCACGTGTATCTCTTCTGCAGCTCCGACTTCACAAGGGCGAGTGCCTCAGTGTCAGCAGTGGCAAAGACCAGGTCGTCGACGTACACGAGGATGTAGAACGGCGGTAGCGAAGTGTCGGTGCGAAGAAACAGCGACGGGTCAGCAGTGGAGGGAGCAAACCCAAGAGCCGCAAGTGTCGTCCTCAGTGTGTCGTGCCACTCACGAGGTGCCTGGCGGAGACCGTAGACTAGCCGCCGGAGGCTCCACTGGGTACCAGGAGGGAACGACCCAGTGAAGCCAGGTGGGCAGCGCAGCCAGATCTCCTCGTGCAGGCTGCCCTGCAAGAACGCTGTGCTGAAGTCAAGAGAGTGAAGCTCGTAGTCACGCTAAGCGGCAACGTGCAGCAGTACCCGAAGAGTGGTCATCTTCGGGGTAGGGGAGAAGGTCTGGAAGAAGTCAACTCCCTGTTGCTGACTGAAGCCTCGTGCAACGTAACGAGCCTTGAAATCAGGCGTTGAACCCGGCGGCCGCTTCACCCTGAAAATCCACATGCCATCGACTATGTTCGCCCCAGGAGGGGGAACCTCATCGACGTAGGTGCCTGTGGACTTCCAGGATGCCATCTCTGCGTCCATGGCTGTCTGCCACTGAGAGGAGTAGGGACCCGAAATCGCCTCTGCGTAAGAGCGCGGGGTCGGGATGTCCAGTGCATCCGGGTCTCCCTCAGGCCACGAGATGAGGTACAGCAGCCGCAAGAGACTCAAAGTCCTCCTGCCTGTCCTTAAGGACGTCCGTGCCAAGAGCACACTCACCCCCGACGGACGAAGGACAGACAGACTCAGACTCAGCAACAAGACTGGCAGCGTAGTCTAGACGACACGCAGCAGCAAAGTCGACAAGCTCAGCAACTAAGGCAGACGCAGCAGTGGAGTCAAACGACGGGTCAATGACGACTGTAGCCAGAAGACGCGTGACTGTGGGGCTAGCAGCACGAACACGGTCAGACTCAGGGTCAGGAAGCTCAGGAAGAGAGGACGCAGGAGGAGACGGCGGTGGGACGCGCTGTGGAGTAGAGGAGGGACAAAGTGCCATATTGTAAGTGCCTGGCACAGGAGGAGGACGCGGACGCGGGACACGACGAGCGGTGCGAATAGCGCGAACATGGGAGACAGGACAAGACGCAGGCTCACGACGCTCTGTAAGGGAGACCGGCTGCTCAGTGTAACGAGACGGGGCAGGCAGCGGCGAGCCAGGAGGAAGGGCAGTGGACGAAGGAAGACTAAGAACCTGGCGGAGCACCGATTTGGGCGGAAGCTCAAACAGCTGCACCGGTGGCTCGAAGAACGGTCGCTGCTGCACAGGGCCTCCAGCTCCAGTACCTCGAGCGCCAGCACCGCCAGCTCCAGTAGTGCCAGCTCCAGCGCCTCCAGCTCCAGTGTCTCCAGCTCCAGCGCCTCCAGCTCCAGCGCCTCCAGCTCTAGCGCCTCCAGCTCCAGTGCCTCCAGCTCCAGCGCCTCCAGCGCCAGTGCCTCCAGCTCCAGCGCCTCCAGCTCCAGTGTCTCTGGCTCCAGCGCCTCCAGCGCCAGCGCCTCCAGCTCCAGGGTCTCCAGCTCCAGCGCCTCCAGCACCAGAGCCTCCAGCTCCAGTGCCACCAGCTCCAGTGCCTCCAGCTCCAGCACCTCCAGCTCCAGTGCCTCCAGCTCCAGTGCCTCTAGCTCCTGTGCCCCCAGCTCCAGCGCCTCCAGCTCCAGTAGCGCTACGCCGAAGGCGAGTGCGCTGAGCTAGCCACTCGCGCAGCTGCTGTGGTGAGAGGGGCTCCCGCTGGGGAGTCCGCTGAGGTGAGGCACACGGAAGACGACCAGTAGACCCAGCTCCACCAGGCTCAGCACCCCCAGGCTCAGCACCCCTAGGAGCAGTACCTCCAGGCTCAGCACCCCCAGGCTCAGCACCCCAAGAAGCAGCACCACATCCAGCAGCACCTTAGTCAGCAGTGACCTCGACAGGCTCAGCTAAGGGAAGTGGGTCTACCTGAGAGACACCTGAAGGAGCAGGACCCTGAGGGGGGAGGGGGTCTACCGGAGGGGGACCTGGAGCGAGGAAAAGCGGCGGGGGGGGGAGAGGGGCAGTGCGGTAGGGGAAGAGACGGTAAAAGGGGACCGACTCGTCAAACGTGACGTCCTGAGAGGGGAAGACACGGCGCGAGGTGGGGTGGTAAAACTGCCAGCTAGGCGCGTCAGTGGGAAAGCCAAGGAAGACGCAGGGAATGGCGCGAGAGGAGAGCTTGCCCGCGGTGGAATCGCGGACAAAGGCACAGGAACCCCAGACCCGGAACGTGGACGCATCGCCAACCTTCCCCGTCCAACGAAGTGTAGGCGAGGTCGGAGTAAGGAGACACGAGGCCAGAGGTTGAGCTGATGCGCCGCGTACCGGACTGCAAACGGCCACAGAAAATGGGGAGCAGCCGCATGGATCATGGAGGTACGAGCGACCTCCATGACTAAGCCAATGCGGCGCTCAGCAATCCCATTATGCTGCGGAGAGGCCGGAAGCGTGAACGACTACTGAATGCTCTCAGACTCACAAAAGGAC